CTGACCCTGAACCACTTGTGAGGGGAGAAAATAATATACTTTCGTATATAACGTATATCAAACTGATATATATAACTTTGTTCTCATAAGCAATAGTTTAGCTATTAAGTGGAGGCACTCAATAAATTATTTTGGTAAACCAACTGTGATGTAAACCAACTTATCAAGATAAACTATCTTGAATAGAAAATCTGGAAATTATGCTCGAAATTAAATTATTGAGCAAGTTACCTCGCAATCACCATGTTGTGGGTTATTAATAATCACACATGTAACCATCTCATAGATGCATCTTATGTGGTATACATGCCAGGTGAATGAGCCCATATTCACCTTTGATATTTCCAGCATTCATGGGATTCAATCCCAATTTTAATTGGTCCATTAATTAATGAGAACAAGCAATGTAAGAGAATTCGTAAAGAACTTTCTAGTTCTTTAATATTTACCCATATGAATCCTCTTTTATTTTTGCACATCATACTTGAACTAACATGGCTAAACCAATTATGCCAGCTGGATAAATTATCAATATTGATAAACTTCAGGTTTACACCATGATGTGTGCAATTATGAATAAACTCCAAGTTTATTATGATATGGGTTTTTATATCAATAAATATCCACTTTATTGTGGTATTCTTTTATTTATGTAGTACAAATTGGAGAATAAAGCGGGTAGCTTTTCACATACATATTACCCCGCTATAAGTTGTACTAATAGAAGATATTAAATCTTTCCTTTATTTATAGTCTCAATATAATCAACCACTTTCGCGTATACTTTGAAAACTGAATAAGTTTCTTTGAGACTTACTACAACACAATACCTTATTGGTAATTAATTGTTTTACGGTTAATATTTTTATTATATGTTTGCACGAAAAAAAGGTTAAAGTAAATATAGTTTAATAAAAAATAATAATTCAACCATTGAATTCGCACATAACATATGCCAACGTGATATGATTACCGGAATTAATTTCTTTTAAAAAAGAATCTTATAGAAATGCCTATAAAAGGACACATGACAATTTCATGTCAAGTTCAAAATATAATTTTAGAGACAATGAATAAATTATTATAATAATTTTATCATTAATTCTTTATTTCAAGTATATTCTGTTAATTGATCCCACAGAAAAGAGAGAATTGAATAAATTTAGTAATTGGAGGCAAGGCATGAAATCACAATAAGGCATCTGATATCTGTGTTATTAAGCTAGCTAATTAGATTAATATTCCTAATATTTACGAATTTATGTTTTTTTAATTATCTATAACTCAAATATATAATTTAATAATATTTAGATAATTTTCTAAAGTTGTGTAAATATGGGATACACGTGCTATTACCCGTTTAAATTAGAGTTCACATTGAATAAAATAGTTGTTTTATTATGGACTCTAAAAATTGAAGTACTACTACTATTTTTATTTTTTTGAACGAAAAAGAACTACTACTATTTATTCTTCTTTTTATTTTTGGATACAGTACTATTGATTTTTCTAAAATCGAAGCTAGACGAGGAATAAGAGTTAAAATAAGCCAATATATGATAAATATAAGAGAATTAATTTTTATTTATTAATAATCAAGGGCCTTCTAATTGTAGTAAGACTGTGAATTCATTACTGATATGAAATCTTTATTTTAACAACAAAAACTTCGACCAAACGAATAATTGCTCAATATCAGAAATTACATCATTGGTAAATAATGATGGACGACTACAACTACGAATTTATTAGTATTGAAATTGCACTATAATCAACAAACTCACAAAGTTTACTAGCAAAATAATTTGGTTTCAGCTGTCTAAATTTGGTTGATAAAATTATATTTTCTAATATTTGAAGGCACTAAATTTTATTTGACATAAAAGAGAGAAGCAGAAAAAAGAATTATCTCCTTTTTTACTTTGTGATTTAGACCATAAAGCATGTCATTATTATAAAGGATAATTGCTAACTCACAAAGTTAAAACCCTAAATCAAAATTATTCAAAGTTCAAGTCGAAAAATAAATTGGTATGGATGAGATAATATTTATACAATTTTTACGATTTGTTAATTTTAATAGAATAATATTTCCTCTAATTTTGAGAAAAAGTAATTAATGTTTTAACTGATTTAACAAAATAACTCTTTGAATCAACTAATTTTTTAAAGAATCTAATTCAATTCTTTTACAAATTCATCATATAAATAATTGCAAAACTTTTAGTGTACATAAATTTATTTCCATAAGAAGAGCATTGAACATGAAATGAATAAAAAATTAGAGCAACATTAATTTCAAATTTGCGCGTACCCTAAGACTAGTATATATATATATTATATATATATATATATATTATAATATATATATATATTCCTGCTTACATTAGGGTAGACTGTATACATCACACCTCTAGGGGTATAGCTCTTCCCTGGACCCTCGATGACCACGAATGCCTTGTGCACCGGTCCGTCCTTTGTATAAATAATTATTCTTGACATGTACCTCAAACATATAATTTATTTCAGGCAATTGCGAAGTTTATGGAAAAAACAAGAAGGGGCAGAGTTAAGTTTGATGCAGAGCGTATAATAATGGCTGGTGGAGCTACTGGAGCTAATGAGAATCTCATATCATGTTTGGCTAATCCAGGCGATGCATTTTTAGTTCCCTCACCCTATTACCCTGGGTATGTATACATACATTGGTTAATATATATATATATATATATATATATATATATATATATATATATATATATATATATATATATATAGCATAAAAAAATTTATATATATTTTAGTATGTTATAGTAGATAAACTGTCTTATTTTAAAATTATTTTAATTTTAAACTTCTCATTTTATTTTTAATGGTTGTTTTTATGGTCGCGTAAATCTAATGGCATGTTTCAAATTACAAGTAACAAAAGTTTTTTTTTTTCTTAAAGTTGGTGTTTAGTCAAACTATAATTGAAATTTAGTCATGTAAAGAGGGAGATTATATTGTATCAAAAATAATTAAATAGACTTGAGATACTTAATGGTCAAGTCTAATTGACTTTCTAAATTAATGATGCATAGTCAAAGTGTTCAAAGCAACAAGCTAAGCAGTGCAGAGGTCAAGATTGCTGCTGCTGTTTTTATATTCTCTTTTCTCCCTTAAACTCCTCTTTTCAACAATATAATTTAATAATCATAGACTAAAAATAATAATAATTACATTAGGTTAGGCTGCTTACATCACACCCTTTTAGGATGCGACCCTTCCCCGGACACTGTATGAACGTGGGATGCTTTGTGTATCGGGCTGCTTTTTTTAGACTTGTGCATGTTGAAGCAATAAAATATATAGGCATGCATTACTCTTTTCTTATTCATTTGTCTTAAGTTGAATAACGTGTTTTAAAAATTGTTCAATTTCGCAGATTCAATAGGGACCTAAAGTGGAGAACTGGGGTACAACTCCTCCCCATTCCTTGCAATAGCTCCAACAATTTCAAGATTACTACACAAGCTGTCAAACAAGCATATGAAAATGCCCAACAATCAAATATCAAAATCAAAGGCTTAATCTTAACCAACCCTTCAAATCCATTAGGCACAACTTTAGACAAAGACACACTAAAAAATATCTTAACCTTCACAAACAAACACAACATTCACCTTGTTTACGACGAAATTTATGCAGCCACAGTCTTTGATACTCCAGAATTTGTCAGCATTGCTGAAATTATCGACGACGAAACGGATAAAATGGATCAGTATATTAATAAAGATTTGGTTCATATTGTCTATAGTCTTTCAAAAGACATGGGATTTCCAGGATTCAGAGTTGGAATTATCTATTCTTTCAACAATTATGTGGTAAGTCGTGCTAGAAAAATGTCGAGTTTCGGTCTAGTGTCAACTCAGACACAACATTTACTAGCTACAATGTTGTCTGACGAAACAAATTTCTCGTTGAAAGTTCAAAGAGGTTGCGAAAAAGGCACGAAAAATTCACAACAGGACTTCAAGAAGTTGGAATAAATTGCTTAAAAGGAAATGCTGGACTTTGTTGTTGGATGGATTTAAGGCCACTGTTGAAAGAACCCACATTTGATTCTGAGATGGCATTATGGAAACTGATTATAAATGATGGGAAGCTTAATGTTTCACCTGGATCTTCTTTTAACTGTCCTGAGCCAGGTTGGTTTCGGGTTTGTTTCGCGAATATTGATGATCAAACGGTGAAGATTGCACTTGGAAGAATTCGAAAGTTAGTGGAAAATGTAGTAAAGAAGAACAAGCAGCAATGAAAAAGGAACAATCTCCGGCTAAGTTTATCGAACAGAAAGTAGGATGAAAATGTTATCTCGTCAAGAATGAATATGAACATGATGTCTCCTCATTCCCCTATTAATATTCCTAAGTCACCACTTGTTCGAGCGAGGACTTAACATCTCCTTATAACTTTATAGAAGTTATTGTGCAAGTTCAAGAATGTATAGCTCTTGTCTCAGCTTTTTCTTTGAAATCGGAGATTGTTCTAATTTCCTACAGAAAGAGAAAATTAGTAAAGGCAAATATTGTTGAACAAATAAAGTCAATTGATATAAAGATCATAGAGGGAAAAAAAAAAGAGAGGAAATTGTAGTAAGATGATATTAGGAGTATTCTTTTGTATTCAATAAAGATATTATAGATAACAAGTCCTTATGACTATTCTTGATGATGATACTACTATGTTGTGTTTGTAAATGATGGTCTAGTAGACATTTAAGGTGTGTAAATGAGAAATTGATGTAAATTGAGAGGGGAAGTTTATATTAAGCCTTTAATAAATAATAGAAGAAAGCTATAGTTTTGGTAGCAAGCATATAGCCTGGGTTTACACCAAACTATTGAATGCAAAGTATGTATTTTTATACACATATTTATTAATTAACCGTGATTAAATATTGTATATTCTTACTTTAATTTTAAACTAAGGTTGAATTATTTTACTTTCTTCAAAACTACAAAGAGTGCACTTTAAATATGTATTGATCAAGCAACAAAACAGAAAACTTCTAAGAAACAATTGTTGAAGTTGCTTTCTTGCTTTCCTCTCCCCTGCCTGCTACCTTTCCCTTTTGAATCTTTACATGCTCAAAAGAAGACATTGAGTTTCTTATTTCAAACTATTTAATCAAATGGTAGTATAACTAGATTGCTAAAATTAAACCCCTAAATACTGTATAAGAAATGAACTCTCTATATCTTTGATGGGAACTTACTCCTTCAATATAGCTATCACCTATTTGCAAGCATCCTTGAGATTGCGAACTACTTGATTTCATGTCATACTAGTATCTCTTGATTGATCGCAAACTCTCATTTTTGTCCTGCTGAGAAAATAAGCAAATAAAAAGATACTTCAAACAATCATGGAATAATAGAGCTGCAGCAATACTACTACTATAACTTCGATAGTACTTTCACTTGCGAGTTGCTTCATGTATGTAAGATACATGTCAGGGATGAAGTTAAGTTTGCTTAGCAAATGTAACAGAAAGGTAGGAGCAGTAAGTGAACCGTGTATCATTTATAAGCAAATAAAGGTATTAAGAACTACCAATGATGCCGGATTCATTGCTCGCAGAACTTTGATCCAACGACTTCTACCATCAGCTCCTACAGCAATCAATCAACAGCACTCGGACCTGATCCTAGCAATCGTCAAGACAGTGATCCAGATCCCTTGTCCTTAACCTTCTTGCACCATTTTCCCAAGTGCCAGTAAGTCCCATCAGGACCTAATAATCCACCAGAAAAGCAGGTATCTCCTGGGATTTTCTCTCTGTGTTAGAGGAATCAAGTACTTGTTGACTAATTTTCTTTTTACCAAATGAACTTAAATCTCCGCCAAGAGAGTAAAAGCAGAGCAATAAGTTAAAACTAGGAAAAAGAACAAATCATTTGGTTGAAGTAAATCATCATCATCCAAACAACAAATGAGAGCACTTTAACATCAAGATAAGACAGATGGAAACCTGGTTGGGCAACTATAACTGGTGCAGAAGTCTCTTTCCTGATGCGAAATGAGGGCTGATGCTGTGTAACGTCATCTAGAAGCGGAAGATCAGTATCATCGTCAAGAATAATAACAGGGGAATTCCTTGAACCTGAGATTCCATCCTTATTTTCTGATCCCTGCACTTGACTTCCACCAGTTATAATATCTTCTGCCATGGTTTGTATACTCTTTTCCTTAGACTTATACTTTCTTTTTCTCCTTGGTCTAGATAAATCATCGCATGAGCCAGTGACTATGCATAAATCTACTTCTGTCGCAGCAGGTGCCTTTTGCTGATTCTCATATGAACGTCGGTCAACTTTGGGTTCTTTGCTTCCTTGATACAACTCAAAGTTTTTCTTGGCAGCTCTCAAAGTTCTCAAATTTTCATTATCTTTTTCTCTTCCTTCAAGTGCCGTCTCAAGTTCTTGGACCCTGGTCTATAGATAGCCGCACACTAAAGAATCTTCAAAGCTCAAAAATAATAAAACCATATTTCATTTAGGAAATCCAACACTCACCTTCAACTTATTTATCTTTTCTTTAGACTTCTCAAGTTTCCTAAGAGAACGAGCCTCTCGCCTTCCATGAGTATCGCACTTGGTCATTAGTTCTTTGTAACTCCTGCCAAATTAAGGCAATAAAGTTATCCATCAAACTTAAGACTAATACATAAATGTTGCTTCTGTGCGTAATAAAACGATATCAAAAATATACATATAGCTTCTGTGCTTGAGAAAAAAAGATCATTGTAAATGTGAGAGAAGGAAAAGGATTTCTTTTGTAGAACGAAACCTAAAACTTTCACAAGTATCATCAAAATGCCATTCCATAGACAAGTGAACAATATTACTCCATCAACATGTAGATACATAATAGCCAGCCCTTTTGCAAGAAAATAATAAAATTCATCACTAAACTAACCCGCATAGAATAGGTGCCCATCTGCAACTACATATAAAACGGCAAGAAGCCGTTATTTCTTCTGAAACAGAAATACTTATGGAGCTTTATATGTAAATATATAGCAGAACGTACAAGAACTATTTTTATTTTTTCACTTTGGCATTTAGAAGCTTCAGTTCAATAACTTCAATTTCATTTCAGAATATATCATTCCTTTTCATAAAGAGGAATTAGGAAGCCTGGATTTTAGCAGAGTTGCTAAGCTCATCAAGCTTATGTTACTTTTTATCTACATGGCCTGTGCTTGATATCTCATATCAGATCAGAAAGTAATTTGCCTGAGCTCGAAAGGAAACTCAGTGTAATATATCAAAGTTTGTACAATTCAGATTTCCCACGGCAATGAACTTTCAGTGAACATATCCACAACATGTATACAAGGTAAGAAATCTCTAACACCAAAGAAGAGCAATAGTAGATATGAAGTTTCATCCAATATCGCTGAAAACTTTTAACTTCATAAATAGTTTCGGGCGACCAATGATTTTTCAAGATATCACGTGTCTCTTTGCTATTGGCATCATCTCCTAATGAAGCAAGTTTCAAGACCACTTCTTCCTCCAAGTTAAAATAGCAGATTCCGATGTAATAAACCATGAATGGAAAGTGAAAAAAAACTATTGTAAATCTAATATAAGGATGCAACTGTTTGTTTCCCTCAATATGATTGACTTACAACTTGAGTGCTGCAAGCTCCTTATCTAGAGCCATATTTCCATCTTTTAGCCTTATGCACTCCAAAGTTGATCGATCTAGCTCCTGCAGAACAAATTTCCTCAGAATGTAGTAACTAATAACTTACATCTTTTTCCACCAAGAAGACATTATATACAAGATAACAAGAATATATGACTAGATGCACTAGCAAAACATCACGAGGAGTATGTACCTTGGATTTAAGATGTAACAACTGCTGAATGGCTGCCTCCTGTTTCACAGCTTCATTCTTTAGAGTCCCTTCTATTTTCAACTCTTCCTTGCATGTGAAAAGCTGAAACAAAAAAGTTGCATTACTTAGAAAATTTGACGAGATGAAAATGTGATGACATGAATTGTTAAGCAGATCAAGTTTGAACCAAATATGCTCATATAAATATCTATAATTTAGTAAATGGTAGTACCAGATACTTCTCAACTTTACCAGAGAAGAGCCATGCTTATTCCACCTAAGAACTTGTATTTTGGATCTAAGCAAAACTGTGGCTCATTCCAATCATTAGCCAAACAATAAACTGAAACCTACATATGCCGAAGATGATTGTTTCATTCATCACATTTAATCAGAAGAGATAGAACTCTTCATGGAACTCACGAGATTTTATAGCTATCAAATTCCTGTCATTTCATTTGGTCAGCTATGGGCAAAGAGACTTGCAAAAAATTTGACTTTTCTCATCTCCTACCCTCGAGTTTTTGGACAAAAATATCCCTGAACTATACTGAAAATTTGAGGTACACCCTTAAACTACCACAGTGAACAAAAAACATCCTTAAAGTATCCAAACTTTAGCAAGTTTCAACTTTTGCCAGACTGTTAAAAAGACTAACAGATCCACACATGTGCAACTCGTGACTCTAGATCTCTCTCATCTATAGAACAACAATAACTATGCCTCACTCCCAAACAAGTTGGGGTCAGCTATATGAATCCTCATTGACCAGGTTACTCCGGTTAAACTCATCACATGCCAATAGTACATGTCAGAGGGTTATTGAACCATTGACCTCTCTTATGGTAAGGGCACTTTCATGAAATGGAGAAAATACCGCGAATAGAATAAGCATGATGCAATTGCTTCATATTCGACAGCAACATATTCTGTAAATTCATGGCAGCCGAAGCGATAGCGAGATTGACCATTTACCTCTGCATTAACTTCTTTGAGATCTTTCAGCTGTTTTTCCAAAGTAGAAGTCAACTGTAAAACTTTCCCCTCCAATCTTTTGACCTCATTTCTCAGTTCACGTGGATCCTCTTCATGACCACAAGGTTTCTTGGTCAGACTTGTATCATTTGGATCACCAACTGATTGGAAATAAAGCCTATTTGCATTTTGTTCTGAACAAGCCTGTTTGCAAACTGGACAATTCTTCTTTTTTCCATTTGTACAGTATTCAAACCATTGCTGAAGACTGATTTTTGCAACCACAACATATCATAATCAGAATCAGCTAAATAATTATCAGATAAGGAAAATAACTATCTCTATCAGATACAAGCACATTGATAGAATTGTTACAGACCTGGCCAGCAACAACTTAAAGTAGTAGTCTTTTTTTTTATAAGTAAACATAAAGGTGCTTTTTTTTTAATGAGGAAAATGTTTGACCTTAGGAAATCATCTCCTTGATCATTAGTTGACCATAAAGGCAAGTAACATATAGTAATTGTACAAGGTGTAGAATTTGGTACAGGATAATGGTCCGGGCGGATCTAGCATACATTGCTTTGGCTTGAATCATATACATGTCATTAAAAAATCTACTAAATAAGTACAAACTATAGATTTCGAACCCAATAAATCAAATGTGCTTTGTTAGAATCCCGTACTCGAACATTACCCATAATGTTCAAACCCTAAAGCTACCTCTAATAATTTGGTGATATTATTTAGTATAGAAGGTTAACAGCAATGCACAAATGTTGATTAAAACAAATAATACAATGTAAGAGTTGATATATTTGTAAAGTAAAATGGTCGCAGCTCATAAGTGGCATAAATAAACTTTCCCCTTTAAAAGAAAACATTTTTAACAATACAAAGTAACTAAACCAGCGGCGGATCCAGAATTTGAAGTTTATGAGTTCCTATAGCAATCTCAAGTTAATAGACAATAATAATTAGGTTCAAAGTCAAAAATTTATAGATATTTATTTGATTTTTTGAGCAAAAGCTACTGTGTTCACGTAAACTCATAGGTTACACAGTAGAAGGGTAACAAATACAAGTTCTAGGTTATAATAAAAAACCTGATTTTTAATTAAGTAGAATCCAAGTAAAGATACCCAATACAAATCTTTGAATACATTCATGATGAACAACTTTTAGACTAAATTTGAATCAAGATTTGCTGATATAAAGAGTACAGAAATACATTTAGATGGATATCGGGTCTAACCAAATCTCGTGAAAAACGTGACCGCAAATAGAAATGGATTGGAGGTCTTCAATAATAGGGTTTAGATCTTCATAACAAATTGAGCAAATTGTCTTCCCAAAACTGTTATTCCCTCCTATCATTTTCTACCTCTTTTCTGCTTCTCTCTTTTTCCGTTAGAGTGCCATTAAAGGAAAATGAAGAAGAAGAGGAGGGAAAAGGAAATGAAAATCAAGGGGCGGAAAGAAGAGGGAAAATTCAATTTAGGGAAATTGGAGAGGAATTTATACTGCTTCTGCAAATATAGCAACTACGAGAAAATTGTTCAGGTTCGGTTTGGCTGCATTTTTCCTAAAAAGAAATCAAACCAAGTAAGTTAATTTTTTAAATATTGGTACCAAACCAAACCAATTAAGTCGGATTTTTATCGGTTTTTCGGTTTTTTTCGGTTATTTATCGGGGTTTTTCTTAAATATGAGACATACACTACCAACCGCATATTACGGAGACTACATTTTCAGTGTAGCACTATCAAATCAATTGCTCTTTGAGAAATCTATCATTTACCAACTTGTATTGGTGATAATTGACTCAAATAGTGATGAATATTTTAACTCAATTAAAAATCGATTATTTATAACCTGAAATAAATTCTTTTACTTAACAAAAGAAAAATACCATCAAACTAGAATGTAAATGCAAAGAATTAGATTATTATAATAGCAAAGAACTAGACTAAAAATACAAAAGACTAATATGTACCATAAAATTTTAGAAACTTTATATAAAAAGATACATATATATAGGTGTAATAATAAATTTAAATAGCTACTTTTATAGTCTGTTTGGTTCGATTTTTTCCGGTTATTTTTTGATTAAAACCAAAATCAAACCAAATTTGATCGGTTTTTAAAATTCAAAATCAAAATCAAACTAAACCTAAAAATATCGATTTTTTTAGTTCAGTTTACGGTTTGGTTCGATTTTTCATGTTTTCATGAACACCCCTAACTACGACCCTACAACACAAGTCCACAAATTAGACAAAAGGTAAAATTTCCTTTTTATTCCGTCCCTAAAATAATGTCATCATTGTCGTATCTAAAAAAATTAATTTTAAATTTTACGTTTTACTTTAACAAAATATTTTATAGTCACAAAATTTTTTAGTAACTTATTTTATATCACAGTTTTAGAAAGTATTAGTTAACTTAAGAAATGAAGGGAGTATGGCAGTATGTCTTTGTAACGACCCGGCCAGTCGTTTTGAGAATTTAAACTCCGTCTAGCGGTGTAAGGTCTGAAACAGCTTCCTAATATGACTATCGACTTGCGTGCATGGTTGAATTCAGTTAACGGGTGAATCAGAGTCAAATTGGAAGAAGGAATCTAGTTTTGGGAGTTTAAGCGGTGAGAATTTAACTGGAATTTGACTTTTGAGTAAACGGCCCCGGAATGGGTTTTGGGTGATCTCTACAGCTTCGTATGGTGATTTTGGACTTAGGCGTGCATCCGGATTCAGAATCCTTTTATATCGAGGGTTAGCCATTTTCTTCATATTTTGAGTTTTTAACTTCGGATTTGGGAGCTTCTTTTGGGGTTTTTCAAGCAAATCGATTGGGTAAGTATTCTTCACATAGAATCTAACATATTTCATGAATCTATCTTCATTTTTACCTTTTAATTTGTGCATTGAAGTTAATTTGGTTAGATTTGAGCCGTCCGGAGATCTTTTCACCCGAGAAGTGCATTTTAGAGTATCGGTGTGTCGTCTTTGAGGTAAGTATCTTGCCTAACCTTGTGTGGGGGACTTCCCCCTAGGATTGAGTCTTCTATGTTGATTGTAGTTCATGTACGCGAGGTGACGAGTGCGTGCTCGGACTTATCTGTGAAAAATTGGTCTTTTAAAGTTCTTAGGTCCTTATATTCACTTTGTATGAATGTGTTCTTCACATGACTGAGTTTCCTATTTACTAGTTTCACATCTACATGCTTGATTGGAAATAATTGCTTCATGATTCACTCTTATTGCTTAACCGACTTCTATTTGATTTAATTGAAGAACTTCGCCTCTCCTATTGTCATGCTATCTTTTCCTAGCTGTTTGCCTTATTTGAGCATCATTATTATCCTTCCTGAAATTTTGTTTAGTCTTAAGTGAAGCTAAAGATCATCCTTCCCTAATTGAATTGTCGAATATCCTCGAAATTGTCCAACCTTAAAAGGAGTTAGATAACCTATATCTTTGTTGACTTGCCCTTATTTGGGACTACTTGACTCGCGTTGATTTCCTTGTTATTGATTTGTATATTGTGGGATCGTCGCTATACGTTAGTTTTCCCGTGTTGAACTGTTCCCTTTATTCCAGTATTCTTTTCTGTGGTTATTCCTTGTGAGCTGGTTTTACCGTTTCCTTGTGATTTACAGTGATATTTATATTTGGGACTACGGGACGATATCCCGGGAGATCCTTTGCACATTTACGTTTGGGACTACGGGACGATATCCTGGGAGATCCCCTGTTAAAATCATTGCATTCTGAGCTGATGTTTTCATTGATCCTATCCCTGTGTAAACATTATAGGTGTTGTCCGTTCCATTCCTTATACTTACTAGTTGGTACGAACTATGTTAGGACACTTGAACAAGCATACACGTGGTTAATCACCCTTATCGGGTAGGAGGCTCTTTGAGATTTTTGAGTATAGACGCGCTGTGAGAATGACTCTTTTGGGGTACGTGAGTTGTCATTATGATCGGGAGGTATGTCGAGGGCACAGCATGCCAAGTGTTAGGGTTCAGGTGTTGAGACCCGTATTGTATGATTATGAGATGAGGTGTCACAGAGTGACTTACATTCGAAGGTCATCTTTTTGAAAAGATTATATTTGGAGGTACTTATTTTTAATTAACTATTTTGAATTGTCACGGGGTGGCTGATACTCGATGAAAATTTGTTTGAAAAGATTATATTTGAAAGCATTATTTTGAAAGAAACTCTTTTGAAAAGAACATTTAATTGAAGAAAGTATATTTCAAACTATTTTTATCACTTGAAAAGAGTTTGATTATTTGATTGACGCTTGCTGGTTAAGACTTAAGGTGAGAATTATCAAAGTTGTTGGGTTATGACTTGTCTTTACCGTATTTGTGATTTCAGATTTGGACAGTCTCCTCGTTTACCTTTTCGTGTTTTCCTTATGGTGCTCCGCCTAGTACTTGCTGTTTTTCCTTCCTTATTGCAATTACTGTATTGTTAGCCGTATCGCGTAATCTCTATATAAATATCATGTTCTGTATATTAGACTAGTAGGTGTCTTGAGTGTTCTTCGTCACTACTCCACCGAGGTTAGTCTTGATACTTACTGGGCACCGCTGTGGTGTGCTCATACTATACTTCTGCACATTTGTTTTAGCAGATCCAGGTATTGTTCGCTAGTAGCTGTGTGGATTCTTGCCGAGAAGACTCAAGGTAGCCCTGATGTTTCGTTCGCAGGCTTCGGAGTCACCTTTCTATTTTATGACTTGTACTACCGGGTTTTGGGAAGATGTTCATTGTATAAATGATCCATTTCAGAAGAATTTTAAATGTTGTTATTTATTGTTGTTATTCCGCAAATTATTAGGCTTACCTAGTCCTTAAGACTAGGTGCCATCATGAAACCCAACGGAGGCGAAATTGGGTCGTGACAAGTTGGTATCAGAGCTCTAGGTTCATAGGTGCTACGAGTCATAAGCGAGTTTAGTAGAGTCTTGCGGATCGATACGGAGACGTCTGTACTTATCTTCGAGAGGCTACGGAACTATTAGGACAATCTCACTTCGTTCATTCTTATCGTGCGAGCTCATTGATCTTGGAGTTTGAACTTTTATCCTTCCATTCTCTCACCGACGGTGAGGACACGAGCTGCGGTTATCGATGATGCTGCTTTCGGAGCAGGTATCACTAGAGACAGAGGCAGAGGCCGACGAGGAGTATGTGCCGCAGCTAGACCACACTCAGAGCAGCGAGTTTCCGTTGGTCAGGTCCCAGGTGTCATGGCGGCACAATTTGTGGTTCCAGTTCAACCCATGGTCAGGGCAGCAGCATCCGAGGAAGAGCAACTTAGATTTGCAAGGTTCAAGAAAATATGACCCTCCTACATTCAGTGGTTCGGCTTCAGAGACTGCACAGGGTATTCTGGAGGAGTGCCATCGCATTCTCCGCACTATGGGTATTGTTGAGTCGAGTGGGGTTGCTTTTACTATGTTCCAGCTTAGGGGAGACGAGATTAGGAGGGAGAGAGTACAGGGAGGCAAGGAGGCCTCGTAGACCGGAGAGATCTGCTGGTCCTTATTCTGGAGGCAGGGTGCGACATAGTAGAGGTTTAGTGGGTCAGCCAGTTCAGTTTGCGCTTCAGGCTTCACTCAGCGATTCAGGTGTTCATGGGTCTCAAAGTACCCGTACCGCACAGTTCCCACAGCCACGTCAATAGAGGGGTTGCTTCGAGTGTGGAGATATTAGCCATATGGTGAGAGATTGTCCCAGACTTCAGGCCGATATGCCACAGCGAGGTATTCAGGCGAGTAGAGGGCGCCCAAGAGGGGGAGGCTTGATCCCGCTACGACAGATGATGTCATTCAGGTATGATTTCGGTTTGTTATGGAGGAGCACCATCCGTATTTCATCTCAGTTCTGCTTATCGGGGTAAGTTCCCCTATCTGTTGCTCCACTTATGGGTGCGTTTCATGATTTGCACTCCGTTTATGTGATTAACCTGTTGAGAGGTTCTATGAGTGATAGACGTGCCTATCGTCTGTTTCTAGTCCTTGTTGAGAGTTATGAGACTAGTGGTAAATTCCTGTTGTCCTTTTCGGTAGGCTTGATGTGATTTATGAGTA